ATATTTTAGTACATAAACAATATAATCAAGAAGTTTTATTTGATGAACTTATTATAAAACTTATTAAAATTATACCAAGTAAGTTTTTGTTATAAATCAATATTGAAATTCCTTACTTAAAAATTAAATAATTTGCTAACAAATTAAAAATATTTATATGTTTGTGATAGTTGTTTGGATATTTGTTTATTTCACAAATAAATACGTAGAAAAAAATTGGATTCAAATTCCAATGTTTTTTGGATCAATCATTTGTGGTTCATATTTGATTTATATTGTTAATAAATCGTCATATTATGGTGTAATGAGAAGATGCCCACCGCTTGCAACATTATGGATTTATTTTGTTATGCAACTTAGATTAACGCCATCAGTTTTTAGTTTAATAATGGTTTATTTATATTTTAGATATGGTGATCCGAATTTTAAAATTTAAAATTATAACAACATATTTTATATAGAAATTATTGTTATCATATAGAATAAGTTAGTATTGTTATAATTATCATTATTAATACAGCAAAATAATAATAGTTACATAATAATATAGTTACATAATGATAATAGTTACATAATACTGATTATGATTTTTATAATTTATAAATCTGTAAAACAAGGAAATCCTTTAACTTTTTCTTTAATAATCTTGTCATTAAAATTTTCATTATTATTATTATCTTTGCTATTATTTTTTTGACAATTTTTTATAATTAAATTCAAATCGGCCCAATACCAAACACCACCAGCCAAACCTTCCCAGAGACTCCATGGTCTATCAGGTACTTTTATCGATCCCTTCCTAGTTTCTTCTTCCCAATTACCAGCATGTAAACCAATAGCTAATGCTCTTTGTAATTGTAGTTCATCCTTGGTTGCAAGGTACAATAATAGGAAAGAGTATGCGTTACCAATCGCATTGTGACATAGCCCTGTTAATCCTTTCTTTAGAATACCATATTTCCAAACTATTTGGGATGCATTGATACAAGAATTCAATAGAGTTGGTGCAAGTGGATTTGTTGGATATAATGA